GACACACCTGGACAGGTACAGACAGGTGTGACAGGTGGGACACACCTGGACAGGTGGGACAGGTGGGACACACCTGGACAGGTACAGACAGGTACAGACAGGTGTGACACACCTGGACAGGTGTGATGGGTGAGACAGGTGTGACACACCTGGACAGGTACAGACAGGTGTGACAGGTGGGACACACCTGGACAGGTGGGACAGGTGGGACACACCTGGACAGGTACAGACAGGTGAGACAGGTGTGACACACCTGGACAGGTGAGACAGGTACAGACAGGTGGGACACACCTGGACAGGTGAGACAGGTGAGACAGGTGTGACACACCTGGACAGGTGAGACAGGTGAGACAGGTGTGACACACCTGGACAGGTGTAATGGGTGAAACGGGTGTGACACACCCGTGTCAGGTGTGACAGGTGTGAGACTTTCCTGCTGCTGCTGGCGCTCAAGGTGAGACAGGTGTGACAGGTGGGACAGGTGGGACAGGTGAGACACACCTGAGACAGGTATGATGGGTGAGACAGGTGTGGCACACCTGGACAGGTGAGACACACCTGAGACAGGTGAGACAGGTGTGAGACCTTCCTGCTGCTGCTGGTGCTCAAGGTGAGACAGGTGTGACACCTGGACAGGTGTGAGAGGTGTGACGGGTGTGACAGGTGTGATACACCTCGACAGGTGTGACACACCTGGGCAGGTACAGACAGGTGTGATGCACCTGGACAGGTGAGACAGGTGAGACAGGTGTGACACACCTGAGACAGGTGTGACAGGTGAGACAGGTGTGATACACCTGGACAGGTGGGACAGGTGGGACACACCTGGACAGGTGTGATGGGTGAGACAGGTGTGACACACCTGGACAGGTGTGACAGGTACAGACAGGTGTGATGGGTGTGAGACCTTCCTGCTGCTGCTCGCGCTCAAGGTGAGACAGGTGGGGCACACCTGGACAGGTGAGACAGCTGAAACAGGTGTGACACACCTGAGACAAGTGAGACAGGTGAGACAGGTGTGAGACCTTCCTGCTGCTGCTGGTGCTGAAGGTGAGACAGGTGTGACAGGTACAGACAGGTGTGACAGGTACAGACAGGTGTGACAGGTACAGACAGGTGTGACAGGTGTGGCACACCTGGACAGGTGTGATGGGTGTGTCACAGGTGTGCCTGTGTGACCCTGGGCGTGTCCCCAATGTCCCCTCACCTGCCCAGGTGTGCCAGGTGTGCATCCCCCCCACATCCTTCAGTGGGCGTGGCCCTGAGTGCCGCACCTGAGCCAGGTGTGTGACCTGTGCCCCGCCAGGTGTGACCCAGCTGTGTCACCTGTGGCCAGGTGTGTCACCTTTGCCCTGCCCGGTGTGACCCAGGTGTGTCACGTGAGCCAGGTGTGTCACCTGAGCCCTGCCAAGTGTGACCCAGGTGTGTCACGTGAGCCAGGTGTGTCACCTGAGCCCTGCCAAGTGTGACCCAGGTGTGTCACGTGAGCCAGGTGTGTCACCTGAGCCCTGCCAAGTGTGACCCAGGTGTGTCACGTGAGCCAGGTGTGTCACCTGAGCCCTGCCAAGTGTGACCCAGGTGTGTCACGTGAGCCAGGTGTGTCACCTGAGCCCTGCCAAGTGTGACCCAGGTGTGTCACGTGAGCCAGGTGTGTCACCTGAGCCCTGCCAAGTGTGACCCAGGTGTGTCACGTGAGCCAGGTGTGTCACCTGAGCCAGGTGTGTGACCTGTGCCCCGCCAGGTGTGACCCAGCTGTGTCACCTGTGTCCAGGTGTGTCACCTTTGCCCTGCCAGGTGTGACCCAGGTGTGTCACTTGAGCCAGGTGTGTCACCTGTGCCCAGGCGTGAGCCAGGTGTGTCACCTGAGCCAGGTGTGTCACCTGTGCCCTGCCAGGCGTGAGCCAGGTGTCACCTGTGCCCAGGTGTGAGCCAGGTGTGTCACCTGAGCCAGGTGTGTCACCTGAGCCCTGCCAAGTGTGACCCAGGTGTGTTACCTGTGCCCAGGTGAGGTACCTGGCAGATCCCGTGGTGTGGCACACCTGGCACAGGTGTGATGGGTGTGACAGGTGTGACACACCTGGACAGGTGTGACAGGTGAGACAGGTGTGGTACACCTGGACAGGTGTGATGGGTGTGACAGGTATGGTACACCTGGGCAGGTACAGACACGTGTGTCTGTGGGTCATTACCTGTCTCAGGTGTGCTGTACCTGAGCCAGGTGTGTCTCACCTGTGCCCAGGTGTGATCCGAGTGTGTTACCTGTGCCCAGGTGAGGTACCTGGCAGATCCCGTGGTGTGGCACACCTGGCACAGGTGATGCCATGGCTGTGCTACACACGTCACAGGTGTGCTGTACCTGTGTCAGGTGTGACCCAGGTGTGCTGTACCTGAGCCAGGTGTGACCCAGGTGTGTCACCTGTGCCAGGTGTGACCCAGGTGTGCTGTACCTGAGCCAGGTGTGACCCAGGTGTGTCACCTGTGCCAGGTGTGACCCAGGTGTGCTGTACCTGAGCCAGGTGTGACCCAGGTGTGTCACCTGTGTCCAGGTGTGTCACCTGAGCCCTGCCAAGTGTGACCCAGGTGTGTTACCTGTGCCCAGGTGAGGTACCTGGCAGATCCCGTGGTGTGGCACACCTGGCACAGGTGTGATGGGTGTGACAGGTGTGACACACCTGGGCAGGTACAGACAGGTGAGACAGGTGTGGTACACCTGGACAGGTGTGATGGGTGTGACAGGTGTGGTACACCTGGGCAGGTACAGACAGGTGAGACAGGTGTGGTACACCTGGACAGGTGTGATGGGTGTGACAGGTGTGGTACACCTGGGCAGGTACAGACACGTGTGTCTGTGGGTCATTACCTGTCTCAGGTGTGCTGTACCTGAGCCAGGTGTGTCTCACCTGTGCCCAGGTGTGATCCGAGTGTGTCACCTGTGCCCAGGTGAGGTACCTGGCAGATCCCGTGGTGTGGCACACCTGGCACAGGTGATGCCATGGCTGTGCTACACACGGCACAGGTGTGCTGTACCTGTGCCAGGTGCGACCCAGGTGTGTCACCTGTGCCAGCTGTGACCCAGGTGTGTCACCTGTGCCAGGTGTGACCCAGGTGTGTCACCTGTGCCAGGTGTGCTGTACCTGAGCCAGGTGTGACCCAGGTGTGCTGTACCTGTGCCAGGTGTGACCCAGGTGTGTCACCTGTGCCAGGTGTGACCCAGGTGTGTCACCTGTGTCAGGTGTGCTGTACCTGTGCCAGGTGTGACCCAGGTGTGTCACCTGAGCCAGGTGTGACCCAGGTGTGTCTCACCTGCCCAGGTGCGGTACCCAGACCGGATCACGCTGATCAGGGGCAACCACGAGTCGCGGCAGATCACGCAGGTGTACGGCTTCTACGACGAATGCCTGCGCAAGTACGGCTCGGTCACCGTGTGGCGCTACTGCACCGAGATCTTCGACTACCTGAGCCTGTCGGCCATCATCGACGGCAAGGTGAGGCACCTGGGGCACCTGGGGACACCTGGGGACACCTGGGGACACCTGGGGACACCTGGGGCAGGTGGGACACCGAGATCTTTGACTGCCTGAGCCTGTCGGCCATCATTGACGGCAAGGTGAGTGCACTTGGGGACAGGTAACACACCTGGGTACAGAGAACACACCTGGGGACAGGGAACACACCTGGGCTGTGACTACCTGAGCCTGTCGGCCATCATCGACGGCAAGGTGAGGCACCTGGGGCAGGTAACACACCTGGGGCAGGTGGGACACCAAGATCTTCGACTACCTGAGCCTGTCGGCCATCATCGACGGCAAGGTGAGGCACCTGGGGCAGGTAACACCCCTGGGGCAGGTGGGACACCAAGATCTTCGACTACCTGAGCCTGTCGGCCATCATCGACGGCAAGGTGAGGCACCTGGGGCAGGTAACACCCCTGGGGCAGGTGGGACACCAAGATCTTCGACT